ATTAAAACAGATAATTATTTAAATTTTATTTTATATTAAGAGTTTATTTAATTAAATCTTATAATAAAAGCTTTAAAAATCTAAAAATTAAATAAAAATCTATTCTTTATTTATAATAGACGTAGTTATAGTAAATTATAAGAGATAATAACTTTTATAAAAATACTACTTTTTATTTTTATATAGTTTTCTACTAAAACTATAGATTATTAGCTTTATTACTTATATATAAAATAAAGATATAATAAATCTCTATTATAATACCTTTTTCTTAATTTTAAGATTTAATATAAAGTTAATATAAGTATTTAAAAAGTATATATTTTATTATAAATTAAGAAAAATAACTAACCTTTTATACCCTACTATAGTAGAAAGTAGTAGGGCGAGTACTTTAGACCTCCTCCTCTACTAGCAAAGGGATAGTCTAGAGTACTACAGGTACTATCTTAGACTACTTATACCTTTAATCACGCTATTCTAAGTTTTGTAATAGTAACCCCTCTAGGCTGCTGTAGATGTATACCTAGCTATTCTATTTTCTAGAGCCGAAGTTGATCGGATATAAGTGCTAAGCTATGCGATCGCCCCACAGCCGAAGCTGATCGGATGTAAGTGCTAAGCTATGCCACCGCCCCACCTCTGCCTAGCGCGGTTAGCCTTATTTAAATAAAGTAAGCTTTAGATATGTGGGGATTAGGTATTTATAGTTAATCCCTCCCCTTAATTATACTGGGCCTTATCGCACCACGACGTAATCGAGCCTGTGTGGCTTATTAGTAGCCCTATGACTTTCTACGTTGCCTGTTGAAACCCCTGAACTAGATTTCTTTCCCGAGGTCTGAAATCGGGAACGCTGAGTAGGCCCGCCGGCGACGCCGGTTTGATCTTAGTCATTTGAGAATGTGACATACCTTAGGGGGGGATGCAAAGCCGGTACCCGCTACCGCACCTAATATCTCTATATCTATTAGCAGGTACGTTATTTTATATTAAATTATATCATCATTTATATTTATATAGTAGCTTTAGTATATATAAGTAAGAAATATACTAAGTAAGATAAATTTATTTTTCTAAGTAGCTAGTATTAACCTAATATATACTTAAAAATATAGCCTAATAATAAAGCTAGTCTAAATTATAATAAACTATTATAATAGTACTACTCTATACTATATATACTACTATTATGCCTTTATTAATTACTAGTATTACTTTTAATAACCTAATCTTTTACCCTATAGTCTAATAATATAGGCGTATATTATATTTTAAAAGTATATAGCTAGTAGCTTAAGGTTATAGGTTTAACTCCTACTACTAATAGGAGACTTACTATATATATAGAAGCTATATAGGTACTAGTATAGGGGGGCCTATACA